TTCTTAAAATATTTTGAATTTTTTTAAAATAAATCAATGCAGTCCTTAAACAAAAAATATATATATTTTTGTTTGTTTTATAGCTTTTCTTGTTTTAAAAAATGATTTGCAAAAAATAAGCACAGCTAAAAAAAAAAAATAAAATTTGTTCTCAATATTTCAGTTGATCTGAGCACACGGGCGTGATGTGATTAAATAGAAAATTCGGAAAAACATGAAATCAGTTCGTCAGTATCATTTCAAATTCATTTATTGTGTATATTTTTAAACACTTTAAGAAAATGTTTATTAATTTTGTGTATTTTCCTTAAAAAAAATATAATACTTGTGTAAGCAAATAAACAAAATGGTGATTAAGGAAATTGTCCCCAATTTCTTGGAAATGTTTACAATTTAAAAATAAAAAAAAATAAAAGAAAATATTTAACAGCTAAAAACTAAAAATAATTAAATCGTAGTTGGCCGGCCAATTGATAAAAAGAAAAAAATAAAAAACAACAATGACCTTGGTCTAAAAAAACAAAAAAAATTAATAAGAAGTTCCCACCGGACGGAAATGCCTTCAAATAACAAAAATTAAAAAAATATTTCGTCGCTTACAGTTAATTTTTTTTTTGAAATTATTAAATATATTATAAAAATCTCTAGTATACCTTAGAGTGTCGTTCGTTCCTTTCTTGTTTTATTTTTAAAAGAAAATTTTGTATAATTTTCTTTTTATTGCAGTTTTTGCAATAAAATCTTGTCGTCAACAAAAATTTCGGTTTTATTTTTTATTTATTCATCGCACAAAAATTTTTTTGTTTTTGGAAAAGTGTCATTTTTATGAGTCTACATAGATAAGATATTAAAACAAAAAAGAAATAAATATTTAAAAATTATAATTAAAAAGAATGTTAGAACATTTGTGTCGGACGTCTGTTTTAATAAATGTTTTGTTTTTTTTTTGTTATAATATTTCGCTATTCCAAGGTATGTTTTCTTGAACTTGAATAATATAGAAACAAATTTTCATTGTTATTTTATATAAAAAATTAGATTTTATTTTTTAAACTATAACTTTTGAATCTGATTACATAGAATGCTCTAATTTGGACAGTGACTCTTCATAAAATGTTCTTTGGAAGTCCACTCGGTTTCATTATCTAGACTCTAGTTAAAGCTGTAAATCTTGTATCGTTTGTTCCTAGAGATCCTATATACTAGTATATGCATCTATAGATCTCGAACATAGCATAAAATTCTGGAAAAATCATGGGTTCTTTTGGAATTTTGCCCATATCTTCTTTGCTTATAGAACGATTTTGCCGATTTTTACTAGAAAACATATAGAAAGCATGCAGCTCAATCTAAATTTCAATTCCAGAGATATTTGGGGTTTTCAGAAAATTTATATCAACATACAGACAGACATACCAAAATCGACTCCGTTATCATTAAGGACCTAGAATATACATATATGTAGGAAAATTATATTGTAGAAAATTACAATTGGAATGAAAAACTTATACTAAATGGTATAAAAAATATATACTCGGGATCTAGAGTAGTGGTTCCTATCGTTTACAAATCCCTTGGGGTCGACTACTTATTAACTCTAACCCAAAAGATCTGCTCATCTTTTGAGGATAAGAACATGAAATCAACCCAATTTCGAATTTCCTATTCTGAAGTAAAGCTTTTCCCAGAAAAAGTGTTCTATATTGATCGAAGTTGGACGGGTCAAGATCCAGGCTATAAGCTGACTATCTGGCCTCATAGTCTCGGCGTTTTTCGGTCAATGTTCGGAAAGTTTCTGTGATAGTCCAGATAGTCCAGATTTCAGTAGCCCAAATACAGAGTATTAACTTAGTTTTGGTGTTGATTCGGCTGGCTGATCGGCCTTTACATACGATAGCTGCTTCGTAATTTAGAGAACTTTGGTCTTCTCGTACTTCCTTTCTCTAAGTTACTTGAGGTAAAGGATTTCGCATTAATCGCTTCACTTCTGTTTTGCAACTTCTTCTGATTATTGGATCATGAGTTAAGCAAGCAAAGGCACCATTTAAAGTTGTGATAACCAACGTTTTTGGATAAAAGACAGTGCCATTTAGACTTCATCGATACACCTCTAGTCTTGTAAATATTAATTATTTATTTCTAAAGTTAAAGAAAGAACCGCCCGTTTGTGACTTGCATAGAACACCCAGGTGACAATGTTTGTACATGAGAGACATTGAACCATAGACAAGTACATAGCTCAAGTACTCGAGCTATCTTATCTCTGATCATTGCAATATTAAGGAATATTCGAATCTCGAAGCCTATTGTTTTGACAATAGAAATGATTTGACATGGGATCGAATTAGAGAATTTCATAATCAGGTAACAGAGAAAAATATTGGTTAAAAGACTAATGTACGGTGGAGCCTATAATTAGGGATAAGTTCGGTACTGTTACTGAACACATACCCCACAAAGGAGTGATTGTGGGACTAAACGTTGGAAATGAGTTCGTGTCAAGTGTATATGGGTTATGAGGTCCTCACCCATACATATACCTAGAGTGAGTGGGTCAGATGTTTTTCTCAATGAATGTGTCGGATGAATGAGAAGTTTGCTGGGTTAAATGGTGATTGATATACGGTATCGGAAGTAATGTTTCTGCGTCACGGAAGTTAAGCAAGAGATTAGATAGCTCGAACCCATGTTAACAAATTGCCACCTACATGTCGGTAATGCATACAAAGGGGCGGTGGTGAGTGATCTAACACCTCAGCCAGTGGTTGTAAAATGAGTCAGGTGTTCACGTCACCTTCGACATAATTTCTTCGAAATATGTACACCCATCTCACCCGCTCGCACAGTCCACTCTGCATCCTGAATCTTTGATATCAACTCAATCCTAACATATAGTCCATAGAATCGTTGCTCTATAAGGTTCAGTTGAGTCGGCAACAGCATTGGAAACTTATCTCTCACGTGCACCCCCGAATGGACCTCTCCAATATCCATAACAAGACAATTCAATAGTTTCAAATATATTAAGTTATCTTATCAGACCGTGAGTGAAATGCCATCCCCAAGTTTATTGTGGCGGCAGACTAGTATAGTCCCCAGAGAAACTTATCTTTCACGTGCATCTAGAAGCGACTTCTCCAACATTCAAAACACCCCCAGTATATTGTAACGGCAGATTAGGGTGCTGGTAGCACCTCCATAACTCGATTTACTAAGATAATAATATGCTCTTGGAGGTACTTTTTATAAACTTGATTTAAACTTTAACTGAATACTCTCCCAGAGGTAAGATTTACATCATATGGGTACCAGGCCACTCGGGAGTAGTCGGCAACGAAAGGGCGAACGTAATAGCTTTAAAGGGAAGGGAGCTCGAGGCAGTTAACCTGACAAACGCAAAACCATTCGACGCAACAAAAGTTGAACTAAAAATATGGGTGAGAGAATCCCATAAGGCCTCTTGGAATAATGAAACGGTGGGTAGAACCACAAAGATTCTATGGGGTGACCCTGATGAGAGCAAGACGAAAAATCTCCTCAAAATGAGGAAGTCTGAGGTTAGTATGATGGTACGTATTCTGAGTGGACACACAGGATTACGAGCATATCTATGCAAAATTGGACGTACGGATTCAGACGAGTGTAGAGCATGTGAAGGGGACAGTGAAACTCTGGAGCACTTTCTTTGCCACTGTCAGGCATTCGTCGAAGTTAGATCCAAGTATCTTGGAAGTGATGTTATTCCGGAAATAACATTCCTGACTAACACTGATTGGAAGATTCTTAGGAATTACGTTCAGGAAACTGAGTTGCTGAACACTGAAAAATATTTTTTTTTTTCATAATAAGGAGCGCACAACAGGCCCGATAGTGGCCTAGGTGTATTTCTTCGGATTTGATGTAGTATACATCCTCCTATCGACCTACCTACCTACCTACCTACCTACCTACCTAATAGTCCCCACAGTTATTCCTCTGTGGGGTCGTCTTGAGTCGGTAACAGCATCGGAAACTTATCCTCCACGTGCATCTAGAAGGGACTTTTCCAATATTCAAAACAAGACAATATCCTGCGGGCAATGATTCCCATAGCTTAAGATATATTAGGTTATCTGGTGTGGCCGTGAGTGAAATGACTCCCCCAGTATACTGTGACGGCAGATTAGGATGCTGGTAGTACCTCCATAACTCGATTTACTAAGATAATATGCTCCCGGAGGTACTTTTTATAAACTTGATTTAAACTTATTGTTTTACACGTCTTACACTGATTCAGTCTAAACTTAGACTAGAAAGACTTTTCAGAAAAAAATCCTTTTTGTTATAAAAAATTCAAATAAACTTTTTAATTCTTAAAATCTTAAATGATATTAATACAAACAAGATATTTAAAAATAATGACCCATATAATGTCAGGAGCAAAAACAGTTTAATGAATGAAAAATTTACCATTCCATAACAAATATTTATTGCGAAAGTGTGTCTTTATTTATTTAGGAGAACAAAAAATAAAACAAATATTTTAATTTCTACATAAATTTATGAGCATATAATTTAAAAATACATATGTACATACATTCCTACACATGTACTCGTGCATAGAACTTAAAAATGTTAATAGACAAAATATAGTGTTAATACACACATAAGACAACAATTTTTCTTTTCACTTCATCGACCTTGGCCAGTAGCAAATTGTTGGCCACTTTCAATATAAAATGTTTATATTTATTGTATGAATGAAAAAATGTGTGCACAGAACAATCTATTGAAATCTCTTTGCTGGTGAATAAAGATATAAATATTTGAAAACATTTTTTTAGCAATAGAATTTTCTTAAAAAAAAAAAAATAATAAAAAACATGAATATTTATAATAAAAAACGTTTAATTGTTATATACGTTTTTTACTTAATAATAAAAATATTACTAAAATAAAATGATGACAGAAATGTTTTAAAGTATTTCAACTAATATGATTTCTTATTTATTTCTTTACAGATTAATTGCAACATTTTTTGAAACTATTTGTATGCCCCACAATAAGCAGAAAATTAAACAAAACGACGTCTCTAAATTTAGCGTTTAAAGAACAAAACAACAAAATATGGATCAACCACTTATAGTACAGGCCGAATATTCCTTTAAGGGGGGCAATAATGATGAATTGTGTTTCAAAAAAGGTGATCTAATCACGGTAACACAACGTGAGGAGGGTGGTTGGTGGGAAGGTACACTTAACGATAAGACTGGCTGGTTTCCCAGCAATTATGTTATGGAATATAAAGCTCCCCTCCCGATCACAGACTCCATCAGACCACCTGAGGAGATTCAAGAATATAGATCGGTTGTATTAAAAGATCTCTTGGATTCGGAGAGAGCACATGTTGCAGAGATTCAGGGTTTACTGGAAAACTTTTTTGGAGCCTTTGCAGCAGACACAAATGTAAGTGGACAATGGAAATATTCAGATAGACTAATTCTAGTACAGCTCTAGTTCAGATCTATTTCAGTTCTAGTTCAGTTCTAGTTCAGTTCTAGTTCAGTTCTAGTTCAGTTCTAGTTCAGTTCTAGTTCAGTTCTAGTTCAGTTCTAGTTCAGTTCTAAGTTCAGTTCTAGTTCAGTTCTAGTTCAGTTCTAGTTCAGTTCTAGTTCGTTCTAGTTCAGTTCTAGTTCAGTTCTAGTTCAGTTCTAGTTCAGTTCTAGTTCAGTTCTAGTCAGTTCCGTTAGTTCAGTTCAGTTCTTCAGTTCTAGTTCAGTTCTAGTTCAGTTAGTTCAGTTCTAGTTCAGTTCTAGTTCAGTTCTAGTTCAGTCTAGTTCAGTTCTAGTTCAGTTCTAGTTCAGTTCTAGTTCAGTTCTAGTTCAGTTCTAGTTCAGTTCTAGTTCAGTTCTAGTTCAGTTCTAGTTCAGTTCTAGTTCAGTTCTAGTTCAGTTCTAGTTCAGTTCTAGTTCAGTTCTAGTTCAGTTCTAGTTCAGTTCTAGTTCAGTTCTAGTTCAGTTCTAGTTCAGTTCTAGTTCAGTTCTAGTTCAGTTCTAGTTCAGTTCTAGTTCAGTTCTAGTTCAGTTCTAGTTCAGTTCTAGTTCAGTTCTAGTTCAGTTCTAGTTCAGTTCTAGTTCAGTTCTAGTTCAGTTCTAGTTCAGTTCTAGTTCAGTTCTAGTTCAGTTCTAGTTCAGTTCTAGTTCAGTTCTAGTTCAGTTCTAGTTCAGTTCAGTTCTAGTTCAGTTCTAGTTCAGTTCTAGTTCAGTTCTAGTTCAGTTCTAGTTCAGTTCTAGTTCAGTTCTAGTTCAGTTCTAGTTCAGTTCTAGTTCAGTTCTAGTTCAGTTCTAGTTCAGTTCTAGTTCAGTTCTAGTTCAGTTCTAGTTCAGTTCTAGTTCAGTTCTTCTAGTTCAGTTCTAGTTCAGTTCTAGTTCAGTTCTAGTTCAGTTCTAGTTCAGTTCTAGTTCAGTTCTAGTTCAGTTCTAGTTCAGTTCTAGTTCAGTTCTAGTTCAGTTCTAGTTCAGTTCTAGTTCAGTTCTAGTTCAGTTCTAGCTCAGTTCTAGTTCAGTTCTTGTTCAGTTCTAGTTCAGTTCTAGTTCAGTTCTAGTTCAGTTCTAGTTCAGTTCTAGTTCAGTTCTAGTTCAGTTCTAGTTCAGTTCTAGTTCAGTTCTAGTTCAGTTCTAGTTCAGTTCTAGTTCAGTTCTAGTTCAGTTCTAGTTCAGTTCTAGTTCAGTTCTAGTTCAGTTCTAGTTCAGTTCTAGTTCAGTTCTAGTTAAATTCTAGTTCAGTTTTAGTTCAGTTCTAGTTCAGTTCAGTTCTAGTTCAGTTCAGTTCTAGTTCAGTTCTAGTTCAGTTCTAGTTCAGTTCAGTTCTAGTTCAGTTCAGTTCTAGTTCAGTTCTAGTTCAGTTCTAGTTCAGTTCTAGTTCAGTTCTAGTTCAGTTCTAGTTCAGTTCTAGTTCAGTTCTAGTTCAGTTCTAGTTTAGTTCTAGTTCAGTTCTAGTTCAGTTCTAGTTCAGTTCTAGTTCAGTTCTAGTTCAGTTCTAGTTCAGTTCTAGTTCAGTTCTAGTTCAGGTCTAGTTCAGTTCTAGTTCAGTTCTAGTTCAGTTCTAGTTCAGTTCTAGTTCAGTTCTAGTTCAGTTCTAGTTCAGTTCTAGTTCAGTTCTAGTTCAGTTCTAGTTCAGTTCTAGTTCAGTTCTAGTTCAGTTCTAGTTCAGTTCTAGTTCAGTTCTAGTTCAGTTCTAGTTCAGTTCTAGTTCAGTTCTAGTTCAGTTCTAGTTCAGTTCTAGTTCAGTTCTAGTTCAGTTCTAGTTCAGTTCTAGTTCAGTTCTAGTTCAGTTCTAGTTCAGTTCTAGTTCAGTTCTAGTTCAGTTCTAGTTGAGTTCTAGTTCAGTTCTAGTTCAGTTCTAGTTCAGTTCTAGTTCAGTTCTAGTTCAGTTCTAGTTCAGTTCTAGTTCAGTTCTAGTTCAGTTCTAGTTCAGTTCTAGTTCAGTTCTAGTTCAGTTCTAGTTCAGTTCTAGTTCAGTTCTAGTTTAGTTCTAGTTCAGTTCTAGTTAAATTCTAGTTCAGTTCTAGTTCAGTTCTAGTTCAGTTCTAGTTCAGTTCTAGTTCAGTTCTAGTTCAGTTCTAGTTCAGTTCTAGTTCAGTTCTAGTTCAGTTCTAGTTCAGTTCTAGTTCAGTTCTAGTTCAGTTCTAGTTCAGTTCTAGTTCAGTTCTAGTTCAGTTCTAGTTCAGTTCTAGTTCAGTTCTAGTTCAGTTCTAGTTCAGTTCTAGTTCAGTTCTAGTTCAGTTCTAGTTTTCGTTCTAGTTCAGTTCTAGTTCAGTTCTAGTTCAGTTCTAGTTCAGTTCTAGTTCAGTTGTTCTAGTTCAGTTCTAGTTCAGTTCTAGTTCAGTTCTAGTTAAATTCTAGTTCAGTTCTAGTTCAGTTCTAGTTCAGTTCAGTTCTAGTTCAGTTCAGTTCTAGTTCAGTTCTAGTTCAGTTCTAGTTCAGTTCAGTTCTAGTTCAGTTCAGTTCTAGTTCAGTTCTAGTTCAGTTCTAGTTCAGTTCTAGTTCAGTTCTAGTTCAGTTCTAGTTCAGTTCTAGTTCAGTTCTAGTTCAGTTCTAGTTTAGTTCTAGTTCAGTTCTAGTTCAGTTCTAGTTCAGTTCTAGTTCAGTTCTAGTTCAGTTCTAGTTCAGTTCTAGTTCAGTTCTAGTTCAGTTCTAGTTCAGTTCTAGTTCAGTTCTAGTTCAGTTCTAGTTCAGTTCTAGTTCAGGTCTAGTTCAGTTCTAGTTCAGTTCTAGTTCAGTTCTAGTTCAGTTCTAGTTCAGTTCTAGTTCAGTTCTAGTTCAGTTCTAGTTCAGTTCTAGTTCAGTTCTAGTTCAGTTCTAGTTCAGTTCTAGTCAGTTCTAGTTCAGTTCTAGTTCAGTTCTAGTTCAGTTCTAGTTCAGTTCTAGTTCAGTTCTAGTTCAGTTCTAGTTCAGTTCTAGTTCAGTTCTAGTTCAGTTCTAGTTCAGTTCTAGTTCAGTAGTTCAGTTCAGTTCTAGTTCAGTTCTAGTTCAGTTCTAGTTCAGTTCTAGTTCAGTAGTTCTAGTTCGTTCTAGTTCAGTTCTAGTTCAGTTCTAGTTCAGTTCTAGTTCAGTTCTAGTTCAGTTCTAGTTTCAGTTCTAGTTCAGTCTCTCGTTCAGTTCTAGTTCAGTTCTAGTTCAGTTCTAGTTCAGTTCTAGTTCAGTTCTAGTTCAGTTCTAGTTCAGTTCTAGTTCAGTTCTAGTTAGTTCTAGTTCAAGTTCTAGTTCAGTTCTAGTTCAGTTCTAGTTCAGTTCTAGTTCAGTTCTAGTTCAGTTCTAGTTCAGTTCTAGTTCAGTTCTAGTTCAGTTCTAGTTCAGTTCTAGTTCAGTTCTAGTTCAGTTCTAGTTCAGTTCTAGTTCAGTTCTAGTTCAGTTCTAGTTCAGTTCTAGTTCAGTTCTAGTTCAATTCTAGTTCAGTTCTAGTTCAGTTCTAGTTCAGTTCTAGTTAGTTCTAGTTTAGTTCTAGTTTAGTTCTAGTTTAGTTCTAGTTTAGTTCTAGTTTAGTTCTAGTTTAGTTCTAGTTCTAGTTCAGTTCTAGTTTAGTTCTAGTTCAGTTCTTTATGCCTTTTAAATTTCCATTGCTGATTATGAATCTTCTAAAATTTTTATTATCTTTACAATTTTCTGCCCCTATAGACTCAATGCTGATGAGTACGCTCAATTAATGTGCAATTTTGTAGAGGTTGTCAAAACACACGAAGAGTTACTTACACAAATGGAAGAGTGCAATGATCGTGTGGGTAAACTATTTCTTAATAAGGCACCATATATGAAACAAGTACACCAAGCCTATTGTGCACAACATCCCAAAGCTATTGTTATATTAGACAAATATAAGTGAGTATAACAAATTAAATAACATTTAAATATACTAATTTGTCACACTTTTTTGTTGCAGAGATGAATTAGAAAAATATATGGAACGTCAAGGTGCTGCCACTCCTGGCCTTTTAGTACTCACAACGGGTTTGTCAAAACCTTTCCGCCGTCTCGATAAATACTCGGCCATGTTGCAGGAGTTGGAAAGACACATGGAGAGCAGTCATCCGGATCGTGGTGATACACAACGTAGTGTAGCGGTTTACAAAGATATTGCTGTAAGTTTTTTTCTTGGTTTTTTGTTTGTTTTAATAACTTTTATTTACATTTTGTTTAGGCCACCTGTTCTGCTACACGCAGACAAAAGGAACTAGAACTACAAGTATTAACTGGCCCTGTACGTGGCTGGCAGGGTCAAGAATTAAGTTCTTTGGGTGAAATTATACATATGGGCAGTGTAGCAGTTGGTTCCGATCATCGTGATCGTTATTTTGTTTTATTTCCTCAGACATTACTTATATTAAGTGTTAGTCAAAGAATGAGTGCCTTTATTTATGAGGTAATTTCATTTAATTTGCATAGACTTTTATCTTAATAATAAATCTCTTCCTTCCAGGGCAAATTACCGCTCACCGGTATCATAGTTAATCGTCTCGAAGATTCTGATACCTTCAAAAATGCCTTTGAAATCAATAGTCCTCTTATTGATCGTATAGTAGCTGTGTGCCAAGGACCCAATGATGCTAACAAATGGGTGGAATTACTAACATCTACCAATGTCAGTATGCCCATTGGCATTAAACGTCAACTTAGTAATTTAAGTAATGCCTCCATAGGTGGTGCTCATATATCCACACCACCCAATCATGTAAGTATTTAAAAAATTTCTCAAAACAAACATTTCTATTCCCAACTTTTGTTCTTTTGGAAAATTTCATAAATTCTTTTTTTGTTAAAAAAAAAACGACCAAAACTTATTTTGTCAAAATGTGTATAGTTTTCATATAATTTGGATGCTCGTGGTTATTGTACCCGGTTTTCTTTATGTGCCTACTACAATGCGCCACAACAAGCCACTTATCGTATTACTCTACCGCCCAGTAATTATCCACCTACGGCACCGTATGCCAATCTAAGCGATCATTTTGCTAAATTGGTTAAAAAGGGTTTGCTTAAGGGCTTTTTAATAAAAATGTTATTGTATCCCCAATCAAGGCAGAGTATTGATATGAAAAGTATTCCCCTAAGAAAGAGAAGATGCCATAAAGCTTCTAAGAAGTTAATTAAAAAGTTTACTAACGAAGAGGCTGATTCGGGTTCATCGGATCGCACTGAACTTGAAAGACAAGATGCTTTTGAATTACCCACTGACTCGGAGAGTGAGGGAGAGGATATTGATGTACATGATGATTTTGAATTTATAAAATTTAATAGTGATAAACGTAGCCTAGAGGGCTGTGATTCCTTTGCTTCGGCGGGTACTTTTATAGATCATGGCTCGGGTGCCGCCTCACCGCACAAAGCCAGACATTGTTCTTCTATTAACTTAATTAATTTGGATTCTATCAGTGATGAAGAGAGTAAACCTATCAAAAAGGAGTCTTTGGTTATAGGTTCAAAAACTATGAGAGCTATAGCAAGAAAGTCTTCACAGCAAAGTTTTATCATACACACCTCTGAAGCCCATTTGGAACTGGGTTCCCATATGACTACACTGGAAAAACCGACTCTGTTGCAACAACAAACTTCGGAAAACTCAGAAATGTCTTCCTGCTACAATGGCCGTGCTTTAGGGGCGGCATATGTGGCTTGTGAAAACCTGGCCGATTTGTCAGATGATGCAAAAATTAAAAACACTACCTCAGAGCTAACTATATCACCTTCCGAACGCCATAGTATGCCCAATATGTTTGTGGGCAATCGTTTTAATCGCAGCTCCAAAACAGCCGTATATGTGCCTACCTGGAAAGATCGCCAGGATATGCAAAATCAATCGGCCGATGTGGCGGAAAGTTGTGATATAACGGCGGAGGAAGAAATTCATTCTAGTTGTTTAGATTTGCCCGCTTCATGTCGAGATGCTCCAGACAAATTGACAGCAGAATTATTGTACAATTTTGAAGAAAGTGATGTTATAGCTCCACCCTCTATGTATAAAAGTTTAGGCCAAAGCCAAAATCAAACAATGACAAATATGCCCTGCAGCATATCACAAACAGAACTTTGTATTGAACCCAAGCGAAATAGTAGAGATTCACAAAAACGTGAATCCGTTAAGCGTTGCATATCATATCATTATGTACCCTTAGCCAATGAAACACAAGCTCAGCCCAATAGAAATAATTCCAATCCTAATTTAAGAGCGGCAAGAAATGATCCTACTCCTCCTCCACAATCTTCACTGCCTAACGCACAAGCTCACCCAACAAATCAACGTTTTGGCAATGGAGATGAAGTCGATGGTCATCAGTCCTCCTCCAAATGTAAATGTTGTGAAAGTTCTCAATGTCCCAGTCCACGTTCGAGTGATTCAGGATTGGCGGGTAGTTGTACCATAACTTCACCCGATCCACCACAAAACGAAGAAGCCTACGAGGCCTATTACGATGTAGATGGTTCCCTTAAATTGATCTCTAAAACGGCTAATGCAGCCGAAACAAATGATCTCACACGATTTGATGTATGCGGCACATTTCGTGAAAAATTCCTAGAGGCTATACAGCAAACTAATGAAATGCAACAACAACAACAAGAACAGCAACCCTGTACGGCAACACAATCTCAATTGCCGCCCATAACGTTAACCTCCACAACAGCAGAATTCCAAATAAATCGTAAAAGTATTTACATTAATTCTTTAGCATCCATTAATTCTCATGAAGCAGCTGCAGCTACTTCAAGTCATACTCCCAACTCTAATGCCGAAAACTCGGATGATATTAATCCTGAAACTGGAATGTTTCGTTCGGGCATGTATGCCCACTGGTGGAAAAAGGAAACCCTGCCGAAAGATGTCATCAAAGGCATAGCAAAAGTCTATAATAAACGTTTGCCCTCGACTCAATCGAGCAAAGAGTCTCACTGTTCTGTTTGCTCTAGTTGTTTTTGTTCTATGGAGGCCAGTGGTTTCAGTGAAGGCACCACCTATTGCTCTATCTGTCAGGATTGCTCCTCCTCCTTTTGCAGTGCTTCACGCAATGATTTACCCACAAATACTACCACTACCATTACAGCAGTCGATTGTCCACTCTGCTGCAATACACGCAATTCAACGCATAGAAATAGTAACCGCAATTCAGCGGCTAGCGTTTTAGCTAGTCCCAGCTCATCCTTTGATTGTCCCATTTGCAGTGGTGCCTATATAGCTCGTCCCGATTCATTGGGTTCGATTAAGGAAGATGTTCAGCAGTATCTACCGCCGCAACAACAACAACATCAGCAGCAGCAGTATCAACAGCAACAACAACAGGCGTTTGCAGAAGGCAAGCATTTTGAGCTTAATATCATTTTTTATATATTTGTATTGTTGTCAATCGAATGTATAAAGATGATATGCGCGTTTGTGCACGTTTTTGTTTTGTAAATTCGTTTTATACAAAAAATTTCTTTTTTTATAATCTAATTTTTTTTCTACTTTTTTAATTTAATCGACTACATTTCGTTGTTTTCGTTAAGTTCAAAAATTGAAATCATTTAAGAATTTTATTTTTGCTTTACGTTTACATTTATAATTGTTTTTGTTAGGTTTCGTAACAAACGTTTTATCAGAAGTTTCTGAACGATGCTGAGTATGTTGAAACTAGAGCAAGTTATTTTCATACAAGGAAAATAACCTCTTTATTCACGTTTCACAAATTAAAGATCTTGTATTTTCATTACGCCCTTAAAGAAAAGCTGTCGGCGGTTTCAGTGAAAAATAAACCAAATAGGGTTTTAGTTTAGGGGTTTCTTGTGGTACATTAGATGCACTACATCTATGTTTTGCATTTTGTTGGTTTCATTAGCCAAATTTTCTAGATCATAGTCGATGTATTGTTGTATAATTCTTCTCGGTAATGTACTATTTGGAAGCTCAGGTAAATACTTTTTAAATTAAAAATTGAATTTGAAGATGATTGGACACTGAGCCAGAAGTTTATCTGATGAATTGCAATCCTTCTATTTATTAGAAAAGCTCCTAATAAAAAAGCTTTTTTTCCGATTTTTCTAAAAATATTTTTCATTTCCTTCACAGAATAAAATGTTTCTTTTTTGAAAAAAAAAATTGTTTGAAAAAGCTCTTTTAATATAAGCTTCTTCTGAAAAAGCTTTTTAAAATAACAAGATTTTTATAAAAAAAATTATTTTTATAAAACAATATTTCGCCGAAAGAAAGCTTTTTTATAGAAAAAATTGTTTCCAAAAACAAAAAGATTTTTAAAAGCTTATAAAAATAAAAGGATTTTAAGTGTTTTCTTTTATAAAAAGTTTTCTCTAAAAAGCCGTTTAAAAAGCATAATTCCGTAAAATCATATGTTTTTTATAAAGCTCATTGAAAATAAGCATTTTTCCATATAACAGGATTTTCATAACAGGTTTCTGTTTAGTAAAATATGATTTTTATAAAAAGCTTTTTTATAATATTCTTGAATTTTTTTGTAAATAAGTTTTTTTAAGTGTTTTTCAAAAAAGTTTTCATTGGGAAAAGATTTTTGAATATTTTTATGAATAAACTTTAAGATTTTTTTCTAAAAAGCTTTGTTTTGAAGTAAATTACATCCAAAAGGCTTTTTCATAGAAAAAGATTTTATAAAAAGCTTTGTTATAAAATATTTTGAAGCTTTTTATGAATAAATGTTTTTAAGGGTTTCCATGTCATAAGTTTTCTCTAAATGATGTTTAATATAAATTTTTTCTAAAAAGCTTTTTAATATAATAAGATAAAAATATTTTTTTTTTGAAAAAGTTTTTCTTTAAAATAAGCTTTTCTGTATAATAGGATTATTTAAATAGCTTTTCCATAAGCTTTTAAAAAAGCTTTTTATATACGACTTTTTGATAGAAAAAGCTTTTTTTAGTAGTATCCCATATAATAAGTTTTCCATAAAGAAACTTCTTTGGTATAATAAGCTCTTCTTAAAAGTTATTTGTTTACATAAAGCTTGTAAAAGCTTTTTTTAAGAATGGGCAATAAAAAAACGTTTTCATAGAATAGGATTTTCTAAAGTTTTATTTTTATAAAAAAATTGTCATATAACGTGTTTTTGTAAAGCTTTTTCTAAAAAGTTTTTGTTTGATAAGTTTTGTTTAATAAATCAATTTAAAAGTTGTTTTAATAAAGCTGTGTTTTCTTCATAGAATAAGCTTTCTCTTAAAAGCTTCTTCATACACATGAGTTTTTTCAAAAAAGCTTTTCACAAAATAAATATTTTTTGACATATCTTTTTAAGTTTTTTATAAAAAAGTTTGCTAATAATAGGCACCATATAGATCTCTTCATTTTGTTCAGAAACCTGTTAAACGTTTGTAAAGAAACTTGTATTTCCTTTTAAGTTTTCCGTTACAATTCAAAAGTAATCAAAACAAATCTAACTTTAGTTTTTGTCGTTTTTTTTTAAACTTTGCTTAATTTAAAATAACGCCTGAATTGGATCTCTATAACAGCAATTGAAATTTATACATTTGCCTGCCTTTTTATAAAATTTCAAATCACAACAAATTCATCATCTCAAACATATCAAAAGACATACAACAACATTTTTTTTTAATAAAAACTTTAAAAATCATCCTAAAATTATATGAAAACGTAAATTGCTTGTTTTTCTAATTTTATTTATTTTCATCTCAAGGATTCATTATTATTTACCACAAATAAAAACTCTCATCGTTTAAATTTTATTAAAAAAAAAAACAACGAATTTCAAAACAAACATGCTCTCACAAACCAAAAAACAACTCATAAATTGCTTAACATGCTTGCGCTTTTAATTTAATCGGCCTGTTACTCTGCACCAGGATCAGCTGCACCCATGATCACCATACTCAATGATATGAGTAATTACTTAAAGAAACTAATTGCGAATGGAATGTTCAATTTACACCAGAACTAATAAAAAGTTTCTAAAAGTTTAATTTGTATAAACGTTATTTTGTTTAAAAACTCTCCTTTGACTCACTGTAAATGAATGTGTTAAATACTAATAGATTTATTTAATTTTTTTACTATAAAAAATATTTAAAATTTTAATTAATTTTTACTTTTATTACAGATGTCCCCGCCAGCCAATCTGAGCCTATTAAGTCAACGCATGAACAGTCAACAACAACAGCAACAATCCACAACGAACTCAATGGTGGGGAGAGAAAACCCAGTAACAGTAGTGGCAGCAGCACAAGCTCAGAGCGGTCAGCAACAACAGCTGCTACAGCAGCAGCAACAGTCGTCGTCGGCACTTCCGTCACAACACAAACGGAGCCTTTCGTTCAATCATCACCTCAGTTACAATCAATACACACACACTCAGCATCAACAGCCTCATCAAATGCATCATCAACAACAACCACCAAGTCTACCAAATCATCCAGTGGCAGCTCAAAACCACAAATCAAATTTAGTCCAGACATCGAACAGTATTTCGAAGATAATGGGCCCAGCACTTCCAGCACAAAACATGGCCACAAACGCAAGGACCGGAAGCACAAAAGGTAAATTGTTTAAACAGAACTAGAACAAAACTAGAACTGGACTAGAACTGAACTAGAACTAAACTAGAACTAAACTAGAACTAAACTAGAACTAAACTAGAACTAAACTAGAACTAAACTAGAACTAAACTAGAACTAAACTAGAACTAAACTAGAACTGAACTAGAACTGAACTAGAACTGAACTAGAACTGAACTAGAACTGAATTAGAACTGAATTAGAACTGAACTAGAACTGAACTAGAACTGAACTAGAACTGAACTAGAACTGAACTAGAACTGAACTAGAACTGAACTAGAACTAGAACTGAACTAGAACTGAACTAGAACTGAACTAGAACTGAACTAGAACTGAACTAGAACTAGAACTGAACTAGAACTGAACTAGAACTGAACTAGAACTGAACTAGAACTGAACTAGAACTGAACTAGAACTGAACTAGAACTGAACTAGAACTGAACTAGAACTGAACTAGAACTGAACTAGAACTGAACTAGAACTGAACTAGAACTGAACTAGAACTGAACTAGAACTGAACTAGAACTGAACTAGAACTGAACTAGAACTGAACTAGAACTGAACTAGAACTGAACTAGAACTGAACTAGAACTGAACTAGAACTGAACTAGAACTGAACTAGAACTGAACTAGAACTGAACTAGAACTGAACTAGAACTGAACTAGAACTGAACTAGAACTGAACTAGAACTGAACTAGAACTGAACTAGAACTGAACTAGAACTGAACTAGAACTGAACTAGAACTGAACTAGAACTGAACTAGAACTGAACTAGAACTGAACTAGAACTGAACTAGAACTGAACTAGAACTGAACTAGAACTGAACTAGAACTGAACTAGAACTGAACTAGAACTGAACTAGAACTGAACTAGAACTGAACTAGAACTGAACTAGAACTGAACTAGAACTGAACTAGAACTGAACTAGACTGAACTATAACTCCATTTTAATTATTTTAATTTTTCCCACTTTCAGCTAATTGGAGCATAACAAATATGCGTCCAGCACCACCCCTACGACCTAATCTTTTGAACTCCAATACTACCAGTGGCGGTGGCAGTAGTGGGAGTCGAAGTGATGGTGTGGCCAGTTTGAATTCCTTATCCAGTTATTGTAGTGGTCGTAAAAATCAACCAACTTTTGAAGAAGATGCCTTAGTGTTGCGTGTTTTTGAAGCCTACTGTGCTGCCTACCAAAATACTACACGTAATACCATACACTCGGGTAAGTCCCATTTAGAAGTTGTCTTATTAATGTTTGAAGTTTAAAAATCCTACATAAAACACACCTCATCATAACCATAAAACGCATAATAGTGGTTATTATTTTTTTGGAACTAAACAGCTTTTGAAACCAACACCATGCTTTTTAACTTTATTATTTTTTATATTTTTTTTTATTGATAATTGCTGGGTTATATGTTTTATATGTATGTGAAAAAGAAAGAGCTTTTTTTAACAACAACAAAGGATTACAAAACATTCCTTAAGCTCTATGCTGGGTTTAATTATTTATTATTATTTTTTTATATAATAAAACCAACATAAAAATCATTTGCTTTTCAGATTAAAATAGAATTAAAAAAAAAAAAAAAACAAAACAAACAAAACACCTCATAACTTGCTGCATTCACCAAATATATTTTATAAAACTTGCCACACTACTTTATTATTAAATGTCATTTATTTTTATATTTAATGGCTAAAATTTTAATTTATTTTAATTTCTATAACATTGTTTTTATATGTTTTTGGAAAACCATTTTTTAAAATTTATGTTTAAAACCCCATTTTTAGCTATAATTTGCCTATTTGTTTTCATTTTTTTAACAGGTTAATTTTATAAGTTTTTTAAATTATATTTAAATTGTAACGGTTTGTAAGGGAGTAATTTTTGCTTACTTACACTTTAATCCAGGTTTAGGTTTGGTTCTTTTAGATTAAGATTTTTTTTTTAATTTTAAAAAATGAATTGTACATATTTTTAAGCTCACTAAGTTACACTCATTTGCAGATGAGTTTAAAAACCCCACACTTCACTTAGTTGTTTGATATTAATTATAACAATTATTAATTTTGTAACCCTTTTTAATTTAGTTTGTAATTTTTTAAAATTTTAATTTTATTGATAATTTTCTGCCGGACACGCACAATTCAATTTTATTTTGAAGTTTTTATTGGGTTTTGTTTTATGATAACAGCGTTTTTTAGTTTTATTGTGGTTTCTCCTTTTAACATTGAAACTTTAAAATTTATTGACAGTATTTTCACTTCATTCAAAGAATAGTAAAATGAGGTTTCTTTTTCTTGGAATAATCGTATAGGTTAGGTTGATAGGAGGATATATACTACATCAAATACGAAAAAAATACACCTAGGCCACTATCGGGTCTGTTGTGCGATCCTTTTCATGGTAATAACATTATGCTTTACATTCGTCTAAATCCGCACACCCGCAATCCCGTGTCTCAACTGAAAATACGTACATCATACAGTCTTGCCGATTTTGAGGAGTTCCTCCTGCTCGTTATGGGTCACCCCATAGGATGTGGTTCTACCCACCGTTTATTGGATTCTCTCGCCCATATTTTAATTCGGTTCTCGTCACTTCGAATGGTTTAGCATTCGTCAAGTTAATTACCACGAGCTTCCTTACCTTTAAGAGTAAGAACATTCGCTCTTTCGTTGCCGACTACTCCTAAGTGGCCTGGTACCCATATGAGGTATTTCAGTGTCCTTGTCGAGGCTTATTTCAACAGCCCTTCCAATCGCCACCTTCCCAATTTTGAAAATGGGGCAAAATATGCTCTGCCCTTGTTCTTGGCAAATTAGCCATGTAGTTATGGTCGATGTCTATAACAGGTAGATATTCCTCAGGTTCTTCTTTTCTATCAAAGACATCCCAAGAATTTCCAATATGCGCTCATTAGCAAGTTTACTGCCCCATCCTTTATGTAAAATCGGAAGATCCCTCTTCTTTGTCAGTCGTAGATTAGCGCCATCCTAGGGAGGGGTTATACTTTCCTCAAAAGTTCTTCAGTGAGAGACCAACCTCATAAACATCACGCCCATGCTGAACTCGCAGTTCACTCTCTCTATTAGTTGTTTGCCTTCCAAGCGATTGCGTCATCCACCATCTTATTGTTCACCAGTTCGTCTACGTTACTCGGCTGGTCTATTGGGATTTTGCCCGTCGTATTACTGGCATCGTATACTGCAGTATCTTTTCTTGGCAAATTTTGCGTAAGATGGCGGCTCTTTTCCTTGATCATCTTTTTAATTTTTCAGAGCTTATTTTGATTTCGCCGACGTGTTCGTTTTCGGAACATTTAGCTTGGCGATGTCATCCTTTGTCGCAGGACTCTGACTTGAGATTTCTTTGAGTGTGGTATGATTTGGCTTCGAGTCTATATTAGAAGACGGGGGGCTTTTTATACCTTACACCACTATAGTGTTCCTACACCCACCTTAGTCGATTTAGCTATGTCCATCCGTCTGTCTGTGTGTGTGTCCATGTAAACGTTGTGCGCATGCTATATGTCGCAATTTTCAAGATAATTTTATGAAATTTGGCACATAAGTACTTTTCTTTTGCCCCAAGGAAGCCTTTTGAAAATGGTTGAAATCGGTCTATTATTTCGCCTGGCACCCCTACCCCCCGAATTTGGTTCTTGAGGTCATAAATATGTTAAATGTTCTTGTATTCTTCTTAGATTTATTTTATGTTGTCAGCTCGGGGTATTTGATTTTCTTTGTCTACGATATTGGGAGAGAATCGGACTTTTCCTTTATGGTGTCGTGGGATTGACACATTATGATTTCCATTGTCATCAACTTTTTCCCCTTTTGCTCCAGACAGCCGTTTTTGAGTAATATTATCTGAGAATTTAGAGTCAGAACCATAGAAAAGGTATACATAGAACTGAAACTGAGTATGACAAAACCTAAGTCTGCTGTCAAAAACCTAAGTCGTGAGAATGTATTAGTTGAAAAATATGTAACCCAACAAACACAAACTCTTTCGTTTAAAAAGTTTTTATATTTTTGTTTGATATTATATTTCGATATTTTATGAAATAATGGTTTGAATTAGCCATTTTTATTCAATATCAGTTGACCAATGTAAGAAAGATCTTCATTAAAAATTATTTTTAATTTTAAATAAACTCTTTGTGGTTGCTGGGTTGAGTCAATATTGACACTTGAAAATAATATTAAAAAATAAAAACGATTGAAAAATTTGTTTTTTTTTCTGAAAATGTTTTCAATAATTTTATGGGAAAACATAACTTTTAGCAGTGTTTATTGCAGCAGCAGGGGCTATTTTGCCAAAGGAATTGTGCTAATGCTAAAATTAACGCTTGATATGAACGATTATTGTTAATTTCAAAGCAGCCCAAATGCAGTCAAAATACACCCTACACCACACTAATGGGAACGGTATTTTGTTTACGTCTTAAAGTTTGTAACACCTGCGTCGATGTAATGATGTAATCCGCCCATAAATTAGCCTATTAAACTTTTTTGTAAGCGGTACATGCTATACAAGAATAGAGTATTTATAAAATTCGACTCAACAAATTTTATATATACGAAATTTTGACTATATATTGTTATAATGAGTAGTACATTCATTAATTAAGCAAACATCAATCTCTTGAATATAACTTCTACATTAAAAAATACTAAATAACTTATTGCTACTTACTCGCAATGTGGTAGGGTATGGTGTATTCGGATACATTTTGTACTTTCATATTTTTGTTATTTTATGTAAACAAACATAAAAATACTCATACAATTGTATGAAATTCACACAGAACCTGTACATGTGAGAGAGTAATATTTCTTATTCTCAGTTTCAGTTCTATTTATTTTTCTATGGTCAGAACACTCATTTATATTTAAATAATGAGGTTGCCTAAAGCTTTCTCTCTCTCCTAGAACATCCTTCTCTTTCACCCTTACATTACTGTCAATGGTATGCTGTAAATATAAGAATCCCGGGTGGTGAACAATCTGCCATCCGTCGGCTTAAATGAAACGGCAGTTGGGAGAGCACAGATTGTCCATTCCATCTCCTAACCGTCAACTTGGAACGCGAATAGAAGGTGAAAACTCGATTCATCGGTTTACTAATTATGACAAATTTTATACATCTTTTTATATAGCATAATCAAAGTCCTCTGGCTTCGATTACTCCTCCATTTAATCATCTAAACTTCTCCTGAAGTTATAATCCACATCTTCTGGCACATATTTTGACTTTTCAAATTCTTCGGTTTCAATACTGTTGTCAAATAGATCTCAATATCTAATTTTCCGTTTAAATACAAGTGTTAACTGTCCCGTTATAATCTTCATGGATGTTCGGAATTTGTGGATTATATTCGATGTACTGTTAGGAATTGACTGTCATATGTTTTCAAAGAGCCAATTCGAAGAGACCACCTTTGTGTTCAGTCTTAACCTTGTATTGAATGGGTTTAGCATTTATTCCTATGACAATAACCGTTTTCTACATTGTCCTGAGACCATTACAGTTTATGCTACGATTATCCAATACAATTGACTATTAAGGGTGACACATAAATGTTCACCCCTATTCTGCATTTGGATTACGTTTACGCATTCAGTTACGTAACGATCGAAAAAAGGTATTCCAACAAAAAACTGAATCGTAAGAAAAAGAATCGAAATGCAGAATACCAAAGTTGCCAGACAGAGAAAATTTCGATTCGAATTGAAATGCAGAATAGGGGCGACTTCTTTTAAAGATTTTGAATTTGCTTGTCTTTCTTACCTTAAGGTAAATGTATGATCCATGAGTTGAAGGGGATATATCTATCCACAATTTAGAATAGACTAATTGCTAGATAGTTTAAAACCAAATTTTCATCTTTCACATTTCGTTTGGGATTCGTTAATTTTAAGTTGTTCAATATGCTTTTTAAAAATATTTTATGTTCCTATCTAATTATGTTTTCGTTTTATGATTCCATTCAGTTATTTGATGTTTATTGCTGTTATCTATTATCAAAAACACCCCGCCCCCGCCCACACCACAATCACCCATTTTGAATTTGTGTTGTCTCGTTAAATGTTTTTGTTAAATTTTTGTTGTTCCATGTTATTCATAGTTTTATTTCTATCATTGTTTTTTTTCTCTTTTATCTTTCTCTTTTTTCGTCCCTCCAAAAATGACAAAAAATAAAATCTATCCAAAAAAACAAATTATTCTTCCAAAACCAAAAAAAAAATCTTCTTATATAGCCTTGCAACCATGGACACCTTGTTTGCCAATACGTGGTGGCAAATTAAAAACCAGTAAACATTTTTCAACATCAAATCCACATCTTCCATTTTTGTGTAATACAGGAGTGCAATTTCCTGGCGCCACCAATGTAAATAATAAACAAAACTCAACTAGTAGTCTTAATTCATCGTATATCTGGCGTGAAGCAAGTCCCAACAATTTCAATTTGTATTCATCCTCCATATCGTCTTTAAATGCCACAGGTTATCGTTACTCATTGACGGGTTCTACGGGTGCAGGAGGAGTTAGCGGAGGAGCAGGAGGTCCTGTTAATAATGCCACCAATACTTCTTCAGGTACTAGTGGTTTGGATTATAGAGCTTTATCAGAGGAGAGAGCTACACGAAAATCTTTGAATCGTTTGAAAAGTGGTTTTGGTTCCGGTTACGATAATATATTCATGACTCCCCTCTTGCCACGTAAAAACAAGGGCTCTCCCAAGATTGTAAAGAATTCGGCTAACTATCAACGACCTCCTACTCCGGTGAGAAACTTATCCGAAGATAGACAATCCTCCACTAGTAGTGTTAACAAACAGCTGCCTAATCATCCGGGTCTATACGATCGGCGTTTGAATCGTTCATTTGAAACCAGCACTTCACATCGTTATGCTGGCTATGGTGGTGGTTATATGATGGGCTATGGCCTCAAGTCCACTTCTTTAAGGCGTAGTACACCTCAACTGCCTGCGGATGGTGTAGACAGTGATGATCCCGATTGTCATCAAATGGCACAAAAAGGCTGCACCGAAGCGTTACTGAGAAATGGTCATGGAGCGGCGGCTGGATCAAGCACTTGTGCTGGGGGAAATGGCGGTGATGGTGATTCTCAAGGACATGCGGGCAATTGGTGTTGTGGTAATTTTGTGATGAAACAATGGCGTAAAATCAATAATTACTGATTAACGCCCAATGAAACGCTGAAAGTCATGAAACAAGAATGATTTTCAGAGCATGTGTGCTTCATCATATTCATTATCATCAGCATTATTATCATAGTTTTTTTTTATATAATAATAATTATTATTATCAAAACAGATCATCAGCTTCATTATCATGCCGTTACATACAAATTACTACTTATAAAGTTAAATTAAATTGAAAAATTACAGTGATTAAACAAACGAAAAAGCTGTTAAAACGCTGATACAATCAAACGTGTTTTTTGAAAATTAAAAAAAAATTGATTTAGTTCTTTTATACTGCAATTCGTTTAAGATAAAACAACTAACTAAGTTTTTTATTTATTTAAATATTTAAACAATTTTATCAATCTTAACTTTAATCTAATAAGTTATGTCTCTTTTAAGCCTATAATCTATTTTAATTACAGTTGTTAGGGAAAAAGAACGTGTACTTTGAAACTAATTGTGCTCTTTTAGATCCATACTTTTAAATGGAACAAAACTGTAACCCATTTTTGATTGAGAAAGCAGTCCTTACACCTAAAGCAACATGATCCGAATGAGGTTATACGGTTTATTACAATTTGTTTTAAAACGAAACCGAACTAGAACTAAATAATAACAATTTCAATCAGATTTTTTTCTCTTTGATCGGCACTCTGAGGTGATACCTCTATTGATAGTGGCGGGGATTTTTCTCTGCAGGAAGTTTGTACTGACGATATGGCTAAAGAATAAACTTTTCTTATAATTTTTGGGTAATAGACCACAAATGGGTGTGTTTTAGATGAAGGTCATGAGTTGCGTAAATATATACGGGTATCGGGAAGAAGTTCCCTAATTTTAGAGGAAAACATTCCATTGTTATAACGATATAACAGTGAAATACACCCCTCGTTGCGACGGTGCTCTAGTGAATCAATAGTATTGGATATTCCACTATCATGATAGATACCTTCGCTCTCTCATGCAACCAATGGAATAGCTGCGAAATCGACTTTTAAGTTCCGGGCCATATATGAGAGTTATATTCCATTTTTATATTATCGCCTATGTCATATCTATTTTCAACTCAATTTCGATTGTTTTAAAAATTCGATTAAAGAAAACACAAAGACGTGGAATGGATGAAATTGGTTCTTGATGCTATCTTTAAATGGTTTGAGCAAAAAGTGCTGACAGTTATCTAATCATAAACCGTCATTATAAAGAAAGGGGAGCAGACTTGGGGGCAAGGAAATCCTGATTAAATATTGTTCAGAGTCGAGTCCATATTTTCAAGAAATATTAATATTGATCATGTTTAAATGGCTCTTATTCACAGAAGGCAATTCGCTTGAAAAAAATCCTTTAATCATTCAGATGAAAGACAACAACATCTTCGTTATCTCTCCAAGAGAATGGTTGAGGATATAGATAAGGAGTAAAGTATTGAAGGTATAACTTAAGTATGGATTTTTTCAATTTCCCATTTTTCTGGTAACGCATAGATTGCACGCCATAATATTTATTTGCTCATATTTTGAGCCTAAGAATTAATTAAACAATTTCGGATAACCTGTTTTGAAGTGAGAGAGAGAATGTTCAGCATCGTTCGAAACAAATACTAGTCGGAAGGGAAACTTCCCAACAACTAAATAGTTTTTAATGGTATTGCAAAATTTGGCTGAGCGTTGTCATGTATAACCTCCAGGTTTTAGTAGTTTATAAAAGATATAACAACAACAAGTCCGACCAAATACTGCAAATTATCTATGGCCATAGATATTTGGCTTTGGTGTTGTTGTTGTAACAGTTCGACTGTGGCCGAGAGTTCTTTCCTGGGGAAAAAAGTTTCGGTTGACATAGCTTTTGCTTTTGGTTTACAATCTTTGGATCAAATTTAGATCAAATTGTCGAGGGAACGTGGCTTTGGTATTGATTCAGACGGGTTTCACATATGGACACTTTAAACTAGTCTATTGACTCATTTTTTAACTGGTCTATTGACTAGTCTTTCGACTTCACTAGACTGGTAACTATTCACTAGTCTATTGACTAGTCTTTTGAGTAGTCTATTGACTAGTCTTTGGATTATCATATTGTCTAGTCTTTATACTGTTCTATTGACTAGTCTAAACTAGACTAGGCCGAGAGTTATTTCCTGGGGAAAAAAGTTTCAGTTGACACAGCTTTCGCTGGGTTGACAATCTTTGGCCGAGTATGACTCTAGACGTTCCGGAGCGAAGATCAAATTGTCGTTGGAACGTGGCTTGTCGTGGTTAGCTGGGCTTCACATGCGGGCACTTTGAAACTAGTCTATTGACTAATCTTTTGACTGGTGTATTGACCAGTTCTTCGACTAGTCTATTGACTTCACTAGACTAGTACCTGTTCACTAGTCTATTGATTGGTATATTGACTAGTCTTTTGAGAAGTCTATTCGCTAGTCTTTAGAGTCTAGTCTTTGATTGGTATATTGTAGGGTGATCGACTCGATTTTTCAACCGGTTTTAAAACCGGTTTTTTCTGCTTTACCAGTGTCGGTTTTTTCTTAATGCTGATTTTTCGAACATCGAATAATCCGGTTTTTTCACTTTTTAAAAACCGGTTTCGAATACTTTTATTTGCTTTGTATTCAAACATTATTTAAATGAAATTTTTAAGTAAATCACAATACAGCCCGTCTAAATTTTAAAAATATTCGAGTCGAGGAACTAGCGTATATTTTTCTAAAGCTCCTTTGGTTAAACATTTTTGATTTTCCTAATTAATTAAAAAAAATTATTTGTAAAATTGATAACTATTTGATAAAATTTTATCAATCTTAAAATTATATTCCAATTATAATAATTAATTTACGGCTGAAATTTTATGGAAGTGTTGGAATGCCTATGCAAATTTTCTAAACAGGGCTTTTAGAATAAGCTAGGATTACATAGTACTTTATGTTTAACAGAAGTGTCACTTTTTTCCTAATTTTTTTTATAACCTATACCACTTTAGTGGGGAGGGTATATTGGTTTTGTGCTGATGTTTGTAACATACAAAAATATTCGTCCTAGACCCACCTTAAAGTATACCAATCGGCTTAGAACAGAACCCCCCCGAAAAGGGCTTCTGAGCTCATAATTATGTTAAATATACAGATATATCGATAAAATGTGGCACAACTAAGTTTTATAGAAGTCTTGATGACCCTGCCAAATTTCATAAAGATCGGGCCCCATTTGACCCTAGCTCCCATACAAAGTCCCCTTCAGAAAATTACTTGAATGTCCCAAATTAACTTATAAACACAAATATCGCGATGAAATTCAGCACAATAAAATATTATATAAATATATTCACAAAATTTTATCGAGCTTGGTCCATATTTGCCCTAGTCCCCATATAAAGCCTCTTTCATAAAATTAGTTTTTCATCCATAAATTGCTTAAATGTATCGGAACAAGGGAATATTGAAGATAAATGCTTTATTATGAAAAATAAATCACATTTAATATTCATAACTGGTGTGGGGTATCATATGGTCGGCCACGCCCGACTATGCTTTCTTACTTGTTTATTTTAAAGAAATAATGTAAATCAGACGACTAGATCTAAAGTTCTAATCTTTTAAACTGTTCGGGCCATGTTTTATTAATCAAATTTAAACATAAACATTATTTTTTTTCAAATTAAAATATATTTTTTTATATATAATGAAAAACCGGTTAACCGGTTTTTTCTGAATTTGAAAAATATCAACCGGTTTTTTTTAAATGTCAACTATTCGAACTATTCGAAAACCGGTTTTTGGAAAATGTCGAATAATCGATCACCCTAGTATATTGACAAGTCTTTTGAGAAGTCTATTCGCTAGTCTTTGGAGTTTAGTCTTTAGACTATTCTATTGACTAGTCTAAACTGGACTGTGCCCTAAAGTTCTTTCCTGGGGAAAAAGTTTCGGTTGACATAGCTTTCGCTGGGTTGACAATCTTTGGCCGAGTATGACTCAAGTCGTTCCGGAGCGTAGATCAAATTGTCGAGGCTTGTCGTGGTTAGCTGGGCTTCACATGCGGGCGCTTTGAAACTAGTCTATTGACTTCACTAGACTAGTAACTATTCACTAGTCTATTGATTGGTATATTGACTAGTCTATTGACTAGTCTTTTGAGAAATCTATTCGCTAGTCTTTGGAGTAGTCTATTGATAAGTCTATTGACTAGTTTTGGGATTATCCTATTGTCTAGTCTTTAGACTATTTTATTGACTAGTCTATTGACTATTCTTTTGAATATTCTATTCACTATTCTGTTGACTAGTCTATTGACTAATCTTTTGACTGGTCTATTGACTAGTCTTTCGCAATTCTATTGTCTTGACTTGTAACAAGTCTATTGATAAGTCTTTTGACTTCACCAGACTAATAACTTTTCACTAGTCTATTGATTGGAATATTGAATAGTCTACTGAGTAGTCTTTTGACTAGTCTATTGACAAGTCTACTGATGTAGTATCGTATCGTCGTATGTCATAAAAATTTTTCAAACTAAATTTTTTGATACAAAATCAAAACAATAGAAAATTACAACATTCTACGATACAATACCGATTTTGAATTGGACTAATTATTTCAGGCATATGACTATGATATATGTATTTCTAGCTGAAAGCCTTCTTTAAGACATATTAAAACCTATTTAAAAACATTTATGACAATAACTTGCCGGTGTCTGAAATTTTTAAACCAGGTTTTACAATTAAGTTCAAAGTGCAAGAAATTTTCGAACTCTAGAAACAAACATATCCCCTTTTTCAATTCGCACAATTTTCTTAAATTTCCTTAGTTTCAAAGTATACGTTCAATTTTGTGAGTGACTAATATTATTCTTATTATTTAAAGCAGTTTATTCTTTTTATTATTCATACAAACAAAATTTATAGACTTACATGGAAGTAATATATTAAACTTCTTTCAATTAAGACTTA